GCGGGACCCTGAGAAGCAAGGCGGTCCGCTCTCCCCTCCCGGACCCTCCCCGAGCAGCCACTTCGGCCTCCTTTAAAAGGCTGGTCAGTTTCAACTCCCCAAAAACTAACCGGTTAGTCAGTTACCGGCTGTCGCTTCCCGGGGAGCAAGAAAAAGCCATTTAATCCGGACAGCAACGCTGGGAAGTCTGCCGTTATTATTATCTTGGCATCTCCTAATCAACGAGGCAGAAGTTTCAGTTTATGCTGGTTGGTCAGTACCTAGAGAAACCCTGAAAAAAAAAGGCATCTCTTCTAGAAGTCTGGAAATCTGCTGGACCGTAGAAGGGGTGGGTGGGGGTTTCCCATCTTACCGGGTCCCATGCTTTGTGTATGTGTACACACACACATACACACACACACACAGAGAGAGAGAGAGAGATTCCCTGTTGTTGGGGGAATTTCTGTTGGGAATCTTTTAAAATGTGGGAATATATTAAAAATATATAAAAATCAGGATGAGGGGGCTATGGAGTGGCTCTTATCCGTGGGGTCACAAAGAGTCAGACACGACTAAACAATGGCATGGAGCGCTGGAATTCAGAGGTGGGGGGAGACCCTCTCTTGTGGGCAGGACAGCTTGCAATCAGGAACCTGGGGAGATGGGGAGGAGGTGGGCATACTAGGTCGATTTTACACCCTGTACGATTCTGCACCGGAAATCAGTTTACCCATTGTTGTTGGATTTAGAGACCCTTCATTATCAGAGGTCTCAAAAAGTAATTGATTCAGCTTGTGTACAAACTTGGCACTGGGGGGGGGGGTGGATCCCCAGGAAAGGATCTACCTTTTTTTCTTGTATGTCACATATTCAGGTTTGCTATGAAACAAGAAACCGGTCCCCCACCCTGCCTTTAAATCCGGTCTCTGTCTCTTGCAGGACGTTCTCTCCTCCTGTGATTTTAAGCCGGAACGCCTCCCTGCGTGCCCGGGATCCCCTGGACCGGTTGGCCAAGGAAGACCAAACCTTTCTCTCTGCAAAGCAAACCATGCCCTTCTGATGGCCTGCCTGGAGCGCCCTCTGCCGTACAAAACCGCCACTGCGGCGCCCATGGCAGGGCTCTGATCCCCCCCAAGCTCTCGCTTGACCGGTTTTCTCCGGAGGGGAGGCTTCCAACCTGGTGTGCCCGAACCACCCCCACCACCCCCATCATGGAGAAGACCTATTCCCTGACCGCTCATTACGATGAGTTTCAGGAGGTGAAGTACGTGAGCAAGTACAGCAGCAGCGGCACCCTGCCCAATGGGTTCAATTTGCAGCTGGGGGCCCCCAGCGCCAAGAAGCCGCGGTGCGGGCTGCCCCGCTGGAGCCGCCGAGAGATCTGCCTGCTCTCGGGCCTGGTCTTCGCGGCGGGGCTTTGCGTCATTTTGGGATGCATCCTGGTGCTGAAGTACATGGCCATGGAGCACGACCCCTATTGCCTGGAGGGCTGTCAGGAGCGGAAGGCGTTCACCAAGGCCTCCCGTTTCATCGCCACCAATATCGACCCCACGATCGACCCGTGCAAAGACTTCTACTCCTTCGCCTGCGGCGGGTGGCTGCGGCGCCATGCCATCCCCGAAGACAAGCTCATCTACGGCATCATCGCGGCCATCGGCGAGCAGAACGAGGAGAAACTCCAGCGCCTGCTCCTGCAGCCGGTCCGGCGGCCCTACCCGGCTTCGGCCGAGCGCAAGGTCAAGGAGTTCTTCCGTTCCTGTATGGACCTGGCCGAAATTGACCGCCACGGTGCCCAGCCCATGCTGGATGTCCTCGAGGAATGTGGGGGTTGGGATATGGCCAACACCGGCCGGCCAGGGCGCTGGGACTTCAACGAGCTGCTCTATAAGACCCAGGGGGTCTACAGCACAGCCGTCTTCTTCTCCCTCACCGTCAACCTGGATGACAAGAATTCCTCCCGCTACGTGATCCGGGTAAGTTGGCCAATGGTTTGGGAGATGCAGACGTTTTTGCAGGCAGGTAGCGTCTTCTTGCAGTGACTGGTCGCACGACGAGGAGTGTGCTGGAACACTGGAACGCTTCTGGTGGGTTTCCCTTCCACTCCAAACTGGGTGCTGACCCCAAGCATTTGTAGATTGTAACTCGCTTCTTCAAATGGATACAGTGAGGTTTGAAAAGTCAAAGAGTAAAGAATTTTTTTTATTGGAGACTCTCTGTAGGGCCTGAATAAATTAATTAAAAAAAAAAAAACCAGAAAGTCATGTGGCTAAGTTGGAACTAGAGGAAATCACAGAGGAAGTTGCATTATAACCAGATCGCTGGTCTTGTCTAGTTAAGCATAGTTTTTGAGTGCCTTTTCCAACTTTGCCCTCTTTGAAGGATATGGACTACAACTCCCACCATCCCCAGCCAGATAGTCAGTGGGTTTGGGAATGATGAAGGTTTTAGCTGGTGCACATTGAGAAGACGCAGATTTGGATGAGATGGGTGTAGGTGATCCCAGATTTCAGGCATGCAACATGTTCCTTTCTTGGACTACATTCCCCAGAATCCCCCAGACAGCTATTCTGACTGAGGCATGCTGGGAGCTGTAACCCCTGAAAAGGAACTTATCTGTGCCCTGACTCTGCCATGCTTGCAAGCAATAAGCCCACTTAAATGCATTAACATCTGTGAGTTCATCAACTCCTAGTGGCCTCTTTTTGGTACGTTCTCGTTGCTATCTCACGTCAGGAGCATGTGCGTGTGTGTGTGTGCAGATGTACAGCATGTGTGCAGCGATACCTGTTCACCAGCCATACATTTTGTTGGTTTTCATACAAGACGCTTCGTACGACTGTCCTCCAGGGAATGGCACTTTGTTTTTCCCCATCCATTTTCACAAGAAGCTCATCCGATTGCACGATTTTCTTTAAAACGAGGCACGCGATTCAAACATTGTTACCTGCACTTAGAGCCAGATCATACCTAATTTTCTGTCAGAGAACAAAGAGGGAGCGTCCCTTTCAAAATGTTCAGGACGCGATGCCTCCGTCGGCATCCGTCATACATATTCAGCAAGGCGGAAGGCAGACAATAGTTTTCAAGGGAGTGGAAGGCGCTTTGCATGAAACGGCGCTTCTCATGGCAGCCACACAAATCTCCCCACGGATCCCTTGGACTCTCTACAGAAAAACAACAACCCATTTATCTGCCGTACCTGCAGCTGTCCAGATGTTTTTGTGCCGTTCCAGTTCAGGAGGTTTTCCCCTTTGTTTTGACGCCAACACCTTTTGCAGCTGATACGAGTCTCCAGATTGTCTGCACCAATCAAATAAAGGAGCAAAAGATTAACAGGGGGGCATAGATTTGCTTTCAGAGAGCAGGAATGTTGACAAGTCTTTAGGTCTGAGATACAAGCTCGAGTGTCCACCTCCCGTGGGGTATGGGATTCCAGTTCCCATCATCCTTCCTCTTTTCCTCCTGCCTTCCACCTTTCCCAGCATTATTGTCTTTTCCAGAGAACGCTGCCTTCTCACGATCTGCCCAAAGTCGAACAGCCACAGTTTCAACATTTTGGTCTCCAGAGATAGTTCAGGCTTGATTGGATCTAGGACTGCAAGGAGATCAATCCTATCCGTTCTGAAGGAAATCAGCCCTGAGTGCTCCGTGGAAGGACAGATCCTGAAGCTGAGGCTCCAATCCTTTGGCCATCTCATGAGAAGAGAGGACTCCCTGGAGAAGACCCTGATGTTGGGAAAGTGTGAAGGCAAGAGGAGAAGGAGATGACAGAGGACGGGATGGTTGGACAGGGTCATCAAAGCAACCAACATGACTTTGACCTAACTCTGGGAGGCCATGGAAGACAGGCGAGCCTGGCGTGCTTTGGTCCATGGGGTCACAAAGAGTCGGACACAACTTAGTGACTAAAGAACAAAGGACCCCCTTGTTCCTCTTTCCGGCAGTCCAGGTTATAATCGGCTTGGTATGTTCCCTGGCGGCCCCACCACTCACCAGCCGCGCAGCTCGATTCTGGACCAGTTGCAGTTGCCGGACCGTCTTCAAAGGCAGCCCCACGTAGAGCGCATTGCAGTAATCTATGCGGGATGTTACCAGTGCATGTGTAACTGTCATGAGACTCCGCTCGTCCAGGTAGGGCTGTAGCTGGTATAATTTCCGCAGCTGAAGGAAGGCGCCCCTAGCCACTGAGTCCACCTGGGCTTCCAGAGTTAGACTGGGGTCCAGGAGCACCCCCAAGCTGCGGACCCTGTCCCTTAGGGGGAGTGTAACTCCATTCAGAGCAGGGAAATGGCCCTCCAGCCTGTTCTGCGAAGCACCCACTAACAGCACTTCCGTCTTGTCTGGATTGAGTTTCAATTTATTGACCCTCATCCAGTCCATTATCAGGTCCAGACACGAGTTCAGCACAGAAACCGCCTCACCTGGATTGGTGGAAAACGAGAGGTAGAGCTGAGTGTCATCAGCGTATCGCTGACTCCTCAGCCCAAACCTCCTGATGACCTCTCCCAGTGGCTTCATGTAGATGTTAAACTGCATGGGGGACAGTATCGAGCCCTGAAATGTTGCAAGCCGCCCAGAGACCTTTGGATAGTGTGGGCGGCATATAAGTTAAATAAATAAATAAATAAATAAAGCAAGCAAGCAAGCAAGCAAGCAAGCAAGCAAGCAAGCAAGCAAGCAAGCAAGCAAGCAAGCAAGCAAGCAAGCAAGCAAGCAAGCAAGCAAGCAAGCAAGCAAGCAAGCAAGCAAGCAAGCAAGCAAGCAAGCAAGCAAGCAAGCAAGCAAGCAAGCAAGCAAGCAAGCAAGCAAGCAAGCAAGCAAGCAAGCAAGCAAGCAAGCAAGCAAGCAAGCAAGCAAGCAAGCAAGCAAGCAAGCAAGCAAGCAAGCAAGCAAGCAAGCAAGCAAGCAAGCAAGCAAGCAAGCAAGCAAGCAAGCAAGCAAGCAAGCAAGCAAGCAAGCAAGCAAGCAAGCAAGCAAGCAAGCAAGCAAGCAAGCAAGCAAGCAAGCAAGCAAGCAAGCAAGCAAGCAAGCAAGCAAGCAAGCAAGCAAGCAAGCAAGCAAGCAAGCAAGCAAGCAAGCAAGCAAGCAAGCAAGCAAGCAAGCAAGCAAGCAAGCAAGCAAGCAAGCAAGCAAGCAAGCAAGCAAGCAAGCAAGCAAGCAAGCAAGCAAGCTCTCCTTCAGCACCACATTTCAAATGGATCCATTTTTTCCCTGTCCGTTTTCTTCATCGTCCAGTTTTTGCACCCGTCCATGATGATCAGAAAGAGAAGAGTGTGGATGATCTTCGTCTTGGTCTCCAATGACACCTCCTTACACCTGATGATTCCTTTGCTTAGGACTACAGAATAAAACCATATGTCTTCCATCTAAATATAAATATAGATGCCGAGAATGATTAGGGAACAAAAAGGAGAGATTAATGGATAATTCAAGATGGAAAGGAGAGAAAGAGGCGGGAGAGATGAGACCCCGGTTTTGGGAGAGACCAACTTTCCCAGCCTGACAGATTTAAAACATGGCCAACTCCGCCATCCCCTGTCAATAACCACATTATGGGATTTCAAAGTGCGCCTGGAAAAATGTATCACACTGAGAAGGTAAATCTAAAGGGACATACAGTAAAGAGCATCTAAATGAGCCAGTAACACGTGTGGCACCAGGAGTCAGAGGTAAAAACACACATGCCATGCTGTGTAAATCCCTCTGTTTTTCAACACCTAATGATTTAAATCATTAGGTTTTGATGGGCGACGAAAGTGGACAAGGGAAAAAAAAGATTAATTTGAAATATGGTCCCAGGTGGGCTTGGACTAAAACTCCCAGAAGCCTTCACCACTAGCTGTGCAAGCGGGGACTCCATCTCATATTTGGTTTTCCTCTTTTCCTGCTGCTCTCCACTTTTCCGAGCATTATTGTCTTTTCCAGAGAATCATTCATAGGGTCTTAGATGATGCATTAAGCAAAAGGAGTGAAATGGGAGCTTTTGAGATCACAGATCCTTTTTCTCAAACTAAGATGTGTTGTAAACTTTTAGATAGCTCACTGGCTTAGGTCTCTGCCTGCAGAACGAAGTCTATTGTTTCCGTATCTTAGAGGATCTCCCTTTTCCCCAGAAAAAAAGTTTAGCCTTGTTAAGGCACCGTGAATAAAACTGAGGAGGCAAAGGAAAATGGAAACGTCTAATTAATCACGTCCAGAAACACCAAGTTGTTAACGGGAAAGCAAAGCAAAACAAAAAGGTTTGTCAATTGTTTCAAATCAATATTAAAGGATCTGATGGTGGATAAAACGTTGAGCTATATTTCACGAAGCCCCTTCCTGCAAATATCTTGAATTCACAGGAAGGATGAAACGATGCTGTCGGGAGAAATATCCACTCTGGCACGGTTGCCACTGTTTCAGAGAAGAAAAACCCTCCGATTTGGAAATCTGTGATTGTGATTGATTGCTTAATTTGTTATTGCAATTATCGGACAGATCGTTGCTTTTCCGGCCGTGATGAGCTTGCTAGGGCAATGGGATCGCCATGCATAAGTTAAGTCCACTTTCAGTCCGTTGATAAGTAAACCTGCAGTAGAACTCAGAGAAAGTCACATTTTTTTGGATGGCCACTCCATGAATTTGGGCAATGATGGCTGGGGATTCTGGGTGTTGTAGTCTTAGGTAAACAGGTTCAAATGCCAGTTCATTAAAAAAATCATCAAAGTAGTCCTCTTGTCTACTGCTCTGCAAGGCAAGGAGCGGTCTGTCCCATTCCTTGAATATCAGGAAAAACTTCTTTTAACTGCTAGAACAGTACAACGGAAACAACGTAAAAACTTCTTTTAACTGCTAGAACAGTACGATGGAAACAACGTCCTCAGGAAGGGGTGCGCGCTCCAATGCTGGAGGCACTCAAGATAAAATTAGACAGCCCTCTGTCAGCGCTGCTTTGATTTGGATTCCTGCGTCAAACAGGGAACTGGACCCGATG